ATTGCTAGACAATTAGCCTTTAATTAGTTCACTTTTGGATACAAATGAATTTTCTTCTGACGAAATCCATTGATTTTAGATGAATTCACAAAATATTAAGAAATTAAATATTACTAGAAGTGAACCATTTCTCAGCGAATTCCTTAAACTATCATCCGATAATATAATTATTTCAAGCAAAATGCTTGATTTGATGGTTGAATACTATAATGTGACTTATATCACGTTTGATTTTAAGAAGCTATTTAATAAGGATTCAGAAGATGGTATAATGATTCAGGTCAAAATAAATCAATTTAAAAGGTATCAAATTAATTCTGAAATCTTTAGATCATCAATATCTTTGCGACATGTAAAAAATTCATACATTTTAGCCAAATTTATTACAAACGATAGTACAGTCAATTGTTATCCTGATCAAGTCTAATATTATTTTACACATAAGATCGATTTACCATTCAGAAAGGCTGAACATTTTCTAGCATTTGTTCATTGATATAAACCTGTAAGTTCTCCAAATATGCGATATTATTTTAGCGAAGAAGAAACATGTAATGTCAAATTATGGGATACTGAATTTTATCCAGAAAGTCGTAATTGTATAATACCAGTTCATCATATTTTGGGTCGATTTGTACTGATTAACTATCGAATTTCAGTTCAGTAAAATGCAAAAGAATATTTGGCTGTTAATCTTAAATATCAGTTATATTTCCTTCTGAATTTTCTTCTATTTTGAAATATTTTAGTCTATTTTTGATGTATATCAATTGGATGTAAATCAGATGTCAATTGGCTATAAATAAGATAGGTTGAATTTTAGCTGATTCTTGGTCGATTTCTAATGTATGCTAATTGGATGTAAATCACTATAAATAAGATAGGCCAAATTTTAGTCTATTTTTGATGCATACTAACAGATATAATCAGACGTCAATAGGCTATAAATAAGATAGGTTGAATTTTAGTCAATTTCTAATGTATGCCAATCAGATATAAATCGGATATCAATCAGCTATAAATAAGATAGGTCAAATTTTAGCCGATTCTTAGCCGAATTCTAGTATATGCTAATCAGCTAGGCTGATTTTTGATAATTTGCCAAATTTAGGCTGATTTTCACATGTTTGATTTTTTTGATTTCGACTAGTGAAAAACAAGCATATCACCGAGATCTGGCAAAATCTTTATTTTAATTATTTTTTATTTTTATTTTTTATTTTCACTTTATTTATTTTATTTTATTTTATTTTTTTAAAAAACAAACAAGAATGAACTTTACAAAAATGTTTTAATAGTTAAAATCTCGTAACTACATCATGATTAAACAATATACTTGATTAATAACAGTTTCATTATAATATCGTAAAGTATTGATCTACATGCAATTACTGCGTATTAAGATGATCAATGATGACTAAAAAAAGTTTATTATTAAAGTTGTTAAATATATTAAATAAATCATAAGTTTATTTAGCAAATAATAATAAACATGTTTTAAATTTTGTAAATACGTTTATAAGATTTTGTAAATACATTGAAAAGAATTTAATGAAGATTTTTTTAAAATTAGTAAATGTACCAATAATTATTTTTTAATATTTTGATGCCAATTAGTATATGATGCATAAAAATAATCTAATATCCTACAGTGAAGTTCTATCTTACATTAAATAGCTTTAAAGAAATATGTATTTCTTATATATAAATTATTCCCAAAATTATGTCCGCTACTATTATATTTATTATCATTACAATAATGAACAAAATGTACAGTACTATTTGTATCAACTACGTTAATAGAACATATCTGCTACATATCTTGTAGCCTATATATTGGATACCCTAATTTTGTTAAATTAGTAATTTCAAACCTATTGTTAATAATAAAAGTAAAGTATTGATTATTTTTTTTATGACTAAAAATAGATCATACAATTGCGAAATTTTCACCCTCTTCTTTCTCTTCTTTGGAAATTATTGTGAAGACATTATCAACATGCAGATGATATTACATGTTAATACCATCATCATCTACTGAACAAGCAAGTTTATAATATTGACACTGACTTTTACAAAATATCATTTCATAGCCCATATCTCAATATGCTAATGCCAGTTCTCTACAAAAAATGAAATCATTGGGCAAATTTTCTTTGGCTTTTCTTCTTAGTATACGCTTCTTTAAATATACATTTGAAATGCGTTCAGCTAATAAATAATATAAAAAAATTGTTAATTAGGAAAATATCATACAAATCAATATAACAAATATTTAATCAAACCTTCGCTTGTATCTTTCTCAGATTTTTTGATAATAAACCAATCATCTAATAACCATTTAAATAATACAGAAGGATCTTTAAGGCACTGTTAGCATTGTTTGTAAAAGAAAATTGACCATCAATGCTTCCATCAAATAAATGATGTATTGTGAATAATGTATTGTAGCGTTTCAACAAATCAAGATCTATATTTTTCTGATTTGTTCATAGGACAATATTTTTAAATATTTGATAGACCATCTCCTTTGTTCTGATACCAGTGTTCAACAATGTCACATAATTTCTAACATGTTGTACCAAATGATAATTAATATGCAAATTCAGAAGATTCTCAAAATTTTTGAATGTCTGTACGTTTTGTAAATTAATAAAATAATGATAATAAAATAGTAATTAGCACAAATTGTAATTATTTATTATATTTATTAATAAAATAAAGATTGTAATTACCTGTGAAAATAAAGTTCTTTCATTATCTAAACATTCATATTACTTAATGTAATCCTTTTCTGTAAAAGAATGCTTAAATATTATTGCTATCATCTTCGCTATTAGTATCTAACATTTTAACCACAGTTTCACAGCTGAATCATTATGAGAAATACCTGTTCGCGTTCAGAGCTTGTCAATTTCAGATTGTTTGAAGTGTTTATACTTTAAAAACCTATTCAAAATAAACGGAAACATCATAGATAGACATAAACAATCTGACATTATAAAGTTATCAATGTGGGATATTAGAATTAGCAGCATTTACCATATTCTTGGATATTCGAATAATTTTCAGAACAAAATGAATTCTGATTTTCTTCTTATGAAAATGCTTCATTTATTATTTTGAGAAATCGTAATACTTTTTCAGTCGTAACATGATAGATATCTCATAGTGACTGAAGATATCTCTCTCTTTTTAATTGGTCAAGTATTAGTAGCTGAATGCGCAACTCATATTCTATTACAAGCTCTTTACACTTTGTTATCGTTGAAGCTACAGAAATTTCTTTAAATTGATTATTTGTAAGATGATGATAATGAGAAATAAATGATAAATCAAGACTATCAGAAGTTTAAGAATCTTTTTTTGCATTACAAGTGTGACACCCTTTTATAGCACTATGCTTCTTAACTCCAGCTAAATCGTTTCCTTGAGGCAAGTCTGTAGTTATGTCTTCTAGACTTACGATGATGAGATTTTTACTTATATATCTATTACTATTCCTTTTCTAGTTTCTTCATCTCGTTAACAAAAGGTCTAATGAATTCATCGAAGTGGCCACTAAATGGAACAAAACTGAGCATGAAATGATTCTTGAGCTTCTTCCTCTCTTTAAATTCCATGTTTCCTATTTGAATGTAAATGCTACTTAGTGAATGATAGACATTAAGAATATTCCAAAGTCATCATAACATATATTGATGTATAGCTTATACACTGGAAGATGTATTGGCAATTCTTCTAATAGAGCAAATTCTGAAGGATGACGATAAGAATACGTGACATTCCTTAACTTTCAACGACCATAATATTTATAAAGAATTTTCTGAATAATAATTGAAGAAACTTCATTATTAGTATCTTCGTTGTAAAGTATAACAACTGTAGCATGTTTGACGATTTCATATAATTCGATAGTTATAACCGTACTTTCTATCTCTCAATCTAACAGCTACACTTCAACATGTGACCTTTCTTTGCGATTATTACTTTGTAATTTATTTAGCAATTTATCAAACCTTAAAACGCGTTGAATTATTATTTTGAGCTCATCATGTATTTCTACTATTACTAAAATTCTACCAATTCTTGTAATTGTTTTTCTATAAACTATAAAATTCCCACAATTATACGTTGCTAAAAAATTGAATAATATTTACAATAGCCATTATTTTTGTTACCATTATTTAGAAATAAAGTAATATTTGATAAATCAGTTATTGTTTCAGTATTATTATAAATGTTATTTGTATATGAAATGTTAATATTTAATTACCTCCATTAATTCGAATAAATGCACATCTAAATTGTAGAGATTCCTTTCATAAATTTCTGTGCCAGAGTTTGAGATTTCTTTCAACCGTTTGACCTGAGCTAAAATACATCTGGCCAAATATTGAACAATTGTTAAGAGCAGGTTAAATTATATCTGTGATGGATAAATAATATATATCTTTAGTTTCTTAGGAAGTTGATGGGATTTTTTTATTTGAAATACGAATTTTGCGTGATTTGATAGGAAGCAAAGGTAATCTTTGTCGATACTTCCTAAACCAGTGAATGTTTGTTACGATATCTTCGCTTTTGAACTGTGGATGATGAATTATATCTACTAGCTTATCGTAAGCTTAGGTAGCTATTGAGTATAATAATATAATAAATTAATTTAATAATTATAAAGATAAATAAATCATTAAATTGATCCTTACATATGTTATGTTTTTGAATCTAACAAAACATCAATGCTTCAGTAATGTTTTTGAAATACAGTGCGAACTCTCCATTAGTATGAGGCATTTGTTCATTGCTTAAGGCCTTATCAACGATTTTATCTGGCATTTCTTCATTCGGTACTTCATTGTAATCATCATTACTAGATAATTCATCCTTGTTAGATTCTTTATAATCATCAGATAATTCATCTTTGCTAAAAATTTTCATCATCATCACCACCATCATCAAATAATTCTTCATAAGATCCCTTGTTGAACAATTTATCTTCAGATAATTTCTTCCTTAGCGAAAAAATCATTATTGGGCACTTCAGAATTGGTTTCGATTTTAATTAGCATCTCATAATCACTTTCATAGTTGATTCCTTCATTTGATAATTCATAGTCGATTCCTTCATTTGATAATTCATAGTCGATTTCTTCATTTGGTATTACGTAGTTGATTTCTTCATTTGGTACTACAACTTCTTCGTTATCTAATTCTATTTTGATATTTAATGTGTCTTTTTATTGTATGAAGAAGTGTTCTATTTCAATGCTTTGTATTAATAAATTAAACAAATTACATAAACAATATTTACCATTTATTCTAGTATCTTTTTTGTTATCTGAAGACGTATCAAATATATTATGTGGGCGTCTTATATAATTTTGATGATAGTTATATGAAGTAAAATGATTGCAAAACATTTGTAAAAAACATTTACGCGGAAAATAAGAAAGAAAAAATCAAAGAAAAATTGAAGAAAGAAAAAAAATTATTTTTTTAAACTTTTGAAACAAATGAAAATTCTCATATAACAATTACTTTTTTTTACAATCAACAATCTTTACGTACAAATAAAAAAATCAAATCTCTAACCAAATTTAGTATTGATGATCATGTAAAAAGAAAAACAAAGTTATACTTTCATATGAATACATTATTAACCAAATTTAGTAATTGATCAACAAAAAAGGTTAATGCTGTATTACAATTTTATATAATAAAAAATATAAGCGATTTATTGAAAATGTATTTTTTTTTTCTCTTTGCTTTTATTAAATAACCATGAATCCTTCTAGAAAATCAAAGAAACGTGCGATTGAAAAAATAAACACAATTAGTACAAATACTAAAAGAACTCGCAATAATCAAGAAATAGCACCTTCAGATGACCTTAACGATCTTTTGATTTATACAGATGTTTCACAGAATAAAAATACAAAAAATACAAGTAAGAGAGGTCGCAAAAAGAAAGTATAAGAAACTGAAGCTACAGATAATCGCGAAAGTAATACTATTAAAGGAACCGAACAAAGTTATAAGAGTTACAAAGGGAAAAAAGTTATTACTCCACAACCACAGATAATCGATGAACTTTTGAACGATAGTGATAGTCCAAACGAAGATGACAATGATGTTTCAAACGAGGGTAATAATAATCCAAATGAAGACGACAATGG